CCACCGTTCCATCGGCCATTTTGGATCGCTCTCGTGGAGCGTTTCACGTTCGTGGTCCGCTGCTAAGCAATTGCTGGCAATAGGGAACAACTTGGCAACACCTCGAGCCAGTGACATCATGGCTACGAACGGCCTCGCTGTTCTGGTTTATACAATGACTTCGATTTTGTTGTTCGTGATGTGGGTTCTGGTGGCGGCTATACCTTGCCAAGACAGATGTTTACAAGTTCATTTCTATGTTCCTAGGAATTTCCAATGGGCAGCTCCAGTCATGTCTTTGCACGATAGGATCCTCGAAGAATCCAAGAAAAAGGACAAAAAGAACGCCTGTGGATTGCTGAGAGAGATATATCAGATAGAGAGAAGTTCCAGATTGGTTGGTGAACTAGCGGATTCAGTTCATTTCCCATTGTCGGAGGAGAAGGAGGTCGAGGTGAAGCAGAGAGTGCAGGAATTGGTACAGGTGCACGAGGCTCTGAAACAGGGATTGGACCCATTTGAGAGGAAAGTGAGGGAAGTTTTCCATCGAATAGTCCGTAGCCGAACCGAGGGTCTTGATAATAAACCCGTGGAAACTTGATATATGCTTGCACTGTGTGGGGTTTTTGGTTCGGAGATGAAGAACATGAAGAAACATTGTGGGCATTGGAGGAAACAAATGGGGGAAGGAAAAGGGAGCTCTTTTCTAGTCGAACTTTTTGTGTTTATGGCCTCCATGGTCTGTGATGCTGGATGGTGTTCATCCTTCTGTTGCTTTTGTGTAATAGATTTCTTCTCTGTATCTATCTTTTGGCCCTGATTTTGTTGTTGATACATAGGAAAAGTGTGTGTTGGTGCGTTTTTGTGCTGTCGCCAGAATTTGCATTCCAAAGTTGCAGAAAGAGAGAACAAGGAAGATTTCAGTGGCAATGCCATCATTTTCATTGGAATCATTGATTCTCCACTTGTGAGGTTCTCTCCCATATGTTTGATATCTCTACTAGATTTTTCTGCTGCGATTCTTCCTTTCAGACAGGATTTGCCTTAAATGTTCAAGAAATCTGTCAACTGATACTGAACCAGTTTTGCTCGAGTCTGTGTTTGGATCTCGAAGGGGGAGTCTTAGCGTACCGGTTCTGCAAGTGCTCTGTGGACCGTGCTGCCCCTTTTCACAGTGCCCAAAAATAATGGTTTCTTCCACACTTGTTATAAGGCCCACATAGCTTTGGCATGGTGCATTTCTGAACCAGTTTGGAACAGATTCTGCTGTGAATGAGCGAGCTTCTGGTGGCTATGCAACAAAACTGATAGCGTGTGATGTTAAAACAGAGTCTTGTGAGAACCCGATGGGCCAAGTAATTGGTGTCTTTGAATAGGAATCGGCTTCGACCCCCAAAACAATGTGGCTTTTATCGTGAATTGTTTTATCCATTGGGTTTGTTCTTCCCTCCCTCTACCAAACCGGTTTGTCTCCATACGACGGTTAATTTACGAAATCACCTTTTTTTTTTTAATTATTCTTTGTTTATTACAAAAAAGTATCATTGTTTATTACACGCATTAGCTTTTGTTTTTTTTTTCTTGGCATGTATTTGCACTTATACAGATAAAATCTTATGTGAATAGAGAGAATACCCGACTTCCTCAAGACAATAGAAAAAATACCCCCTCCATGGACTTTTTTTAGGCCTCGATTGTTTTTTATTCGATTTTTTTTAAATCGAATTATCATAAAATATACATTCATTTGGTATTTATATCAAACTTTTGATTCCATTTGAATTCTACTCAAATTTGTATCCCATTTTAGTTGATAAAAATAAGTACTTATTCACGGAATGGTATAGAGGATCAAACGAAGAGGAGATTAGACGTTTTTCTATGGAATTCAGTTGATTTGGCTCAATAATAAACTATATCATTCATGTTTTTTTTTTCCCATCGAATGCAATCTGAATAAGTTATACATTATTCAAATCAAAATGACACTGCTACATGCACAAAGTAAAAAACAAAAACGAACTTCTAAAACGAAAACCATATATATATATATATATATATATTCAAATTATTGATCCTATTTTCAAACTTTGATATATTCTACTTTAACACGATGCTTGAAAAGCAAAATTATGCAAAGGAAGCCATTGGGTTAATCGTGAGTGAGATTCTACTATTCTAGATGGGAAAGAAAAAAAAAACAGAGAAACGTCTAAATACAATATAGATACATGCATATGTATATATATATGGCAGGCACATGTGGCACGCCAGTAGGCCCATTACATCAGTGAGAAATACTATCATATAACTATGTAACATATGCACTACATAAAAGCATATCATCATCATCATCATCATCACTCTTTTGCAGATTACCACCACCAGGTTTCTCAGGCAGGTTACCGACAAGATACATCCTCTATACATACACATATACTAAAGCATACCACTGAAATTGCTTCCCTAACAGACAAACTTCTTTTAATCTTCTTTACTCACTGGACCACGATATCTAATGATCTCCGGAAGATGAAAGATGTTACCCGGACAGATGGCCGTTCCCTTTCTACTGCACCTGCGTCAGCTGATTGAATTCACCACTCCAACGAGCGAACCCTGCGCAGGAGACGTGGTTTCTCGACGGCTGGAATCACTCTCTCCATTAGCTGCCACCTCAAGAAAAATGTTCGAAACCACGACGATCATGCATCATCTGATAGCATCTCGACAGATTCTTTTTGGTTCGGTAACGTAACACAGAGGTATGCTTAAAACAATAACGGCCATAGATGCTCCCCTTCACTAACGCAGCATCAACTAGGTGGCTCAGAGAGAGATGCTGAGACATGTACGCAAGCTATATAACCATGCTCAAGCTATCGAATTCGAAGCTAGCATACAAAGAGATTAGAGTGGATAGAACCATTACCTTCTTGTGTCTTTCCTTGGTCCTTTCGGCCTGTGGATATATAGAAGCAAGATTACTCAGAGATTGGAATCTACAGTTGCATGGAGGCAAAAATAATCTGAACACCATTGAATTGCTACTAATTACCGAAGAGCCTTGCACAAGAAAGATCATCTAAAGCGGCTTACATGTAATCCGACCATTCAGCAAAGCACTGAATTCATGTAATTGACAATTAAACATCCAAAATCTATACAAATGAATGACGCCCACGTTTTAAATTCTCACCATCTTCCTGATTCTTTTCGGTTATCAAAAAAGTTCAGGGGATCTCAGAAGAATAAACGAGCAAATTTGAGATACCTTTTCCTTCGACAGCTGCTCATTCTCCTCCTCTAGTTTCGATGCCAAGGACTCCAACTCCAGTTGATAAGCCTGTAATTTCCGTTCATCGCTATAATCGCAAATTCTAACCCATGAAAGGAATACTTGCGCACTTGCATATACGCAAATTACACATATGCAGAAAAAGAAAAAGAAACCTGCTTCCGCTCCCTGGACCTAGCAGCAGATTCACGGTTCTTGATCGTCCTCTTATGCCGCTGTGCTGCAGCCTTATCCAACGGCTCCATAATCATTCTCGCCCTCTTTCCCCTGGATCCGCCACGTCCACCTACTCCTCCGCCGCCATAGACATCCAGACCGTTTCCAAACCCGACGATAGTTCCTTCAACGTTATCAATCATCTGAAGCGGCTTGTGTGGCACCGGGTCGAACGCGCAGCCCCCGCCACCGAGCCTCTCTGGCGGAATCTTCGCGTCCATATCCTCCCATTCCGCCGTACCGACCGTATCGTCCACCGCCGCCTTTGCCAGAAAGTCCTCCAGCGTCATTATTTCATCCTGCGCCTCCTCTTTCATCTCCTTCCTCTCTCCCGACACAATTTCGCTCCACACCTCATCCACACTCTTCCCTTGCGTCTCCGTCACACTCATACCACCGCCGCTGCCACCGTGGCCGCTCCGGTCAACGTTAACTGCAATCTCCACCAGCCCCGGAGCAGGAGGGTCCATGAGACTAATAGACGCGTCCGAAAGCGTAGACTCCGCCGCCACCGCCGGATGATCCGTACCGTAAACATCCCGCAGAATTCCGTCGACCGTAATCGTGGAACCGAACCCGTTGTTCAACCTGTCGTAAACGCCACTCAACCTCGATCGATCGGCGCTCGAATCTCGCTTCAGCTGGTGCGATCTTACAGAAGGAGAAGAAAAAACAGAAGAAGAATTACGACGGGAGAGACCCGAGTTTCTCGAGTTGGAAGAAGGCATCACCTTGGACGACGCCATTTCCGGAGGAGTGAGGAGTTCGGTTGCTCCCTCCTCTCTATCCCCTGAATCGGAACAGAAAGAATCTCGCAGCAGCAAGATGGAAGAAAAACAGTTTGGGAGATGGCGGATTATTTTCTCGGACGAGAAAACCGAGAGAGATTTTCCCTCGAACTAGGGTTTTGTGGAATTTGATTTGGCCCGCCCGCTGTGCTTGGGGGATGAGGGAGAAGCAGCGCGCGGGGGCGTGACTGGAACGGGAACAGACGGTTTCCGGTAATAAAAGGCCCTTTCGTTGACTGTGGGCCCATTAAATTTGGAGATACTGATACTTCGCGTATCCATTTTATAATTTATACTTGAATGACCAAAAATTATGTTCATTTGAATTTTGATTTAGTTTCATTGAATTTTTTGTTCAGTAACAGTTAGTCCAGATTCAATTTTCACAAGTAAAAATATTCATTTTAAATTTTATGGATATTTTTTTATTCAATTTTCTTTCAGAACAATGTTGAGAAAATCCGTTTGAATTAGATCAGAATTTAGAAATTCAGTGTAGTAGATTTGATTTTAGTTGGGTACATCTAGTTTTCAGATTAATATCCATATAATTTTGTTTGACCCATTAATTTTTTTTTTTAATCAAGTTCAGGGGATGTGACGGACAATTCGCCCAAGATCAAATCTCGATTTCTCACCAACTCTCCTCGCACCGGGTCGACGAACCTGGGATTGCCATCGTTGATTTGAGGAATTCGATCGAAGAACTGGAAACGAAGAGAGAGGCAAAACGGAAAGTAAGAACGCACAATCCCTGAACTTCATGACGACGTCGTTCGGAGCTCGGAGCCGTGCCCCCATCCCTAGGAAACATGTGGAATGTTTTTTGTTTCCATATGATTAATAATATATTTTGTATATACATATGAAAATAAAAATTTGAATTTCAAAATAATAAAATTAAATCTGTTGAAATATTAATTTTGCTAACAAAAATTCAGTATTTAAAAACTAAAAAATAAAGTATGAATTTAAATTTTCTAAAAAAGTGATGAGAATGTATTAAAATTTGTAAAATTTTATATGAAATCCATTTTCTATACTTATAAATTATATTTTTTTATATCTTTTCAAATAGTTTTCTATTCACAAAAAATATATAAATTTTTAAATCGAATCGAATTCAAACCATACGAATCAAACCGAATTCGAACAAAACCAAATCAAATCCAAAGTTATACCGAACCAAACCAAACCAAACCGAATCCAAATTCAAACCGATTCGATTAATAAGTAAATGAGAAACTTGAAAAATTATATGAAAAATGAGTTTTTACCTATAAAAAATCGAATCCGAACTGATTCGATTCGATTCGGATTCAATTATTTCTGGTTTTAAGAATTTATAATTAAACGATTATTAAATTTTAATTGATTTAGTTCATTTCAGTTATTTCAAAATTTTGAGAATTTATAAAACAAATCGATTATTTAGTTCGATTCGATTAATAATAGAAATAACCGAATTGAATGTCAATTTGTAATTATAATGAAGAATAAAGAATAAAATATTATAATAGACTATTTTGGTTAATGGGATAAATCTATTTAATCAGTAGAAAATAATTTTAATTCAAAATAATAATTTAAATATAAAAATAATTGGACTGGTTTGGGTTGCTAACCCAATTTAGCGTTAGAGGTTGAATCCGATCTGATGTATTCAAATGAAAATAATATCAATAATTAAAAATAAAAAAAAAAGAAATATAACTGTAGATTCATCTAGACGGTTGTGATTGCTTGTACATATAAATGCTCGTGAGCTCGACAACAGTGGATACTCCTCACCCCGCTCTGATATTTTTCGGCCCCCCAACGCCTCTTTCTCTTCCATATTATCCAAACAAGATTCAAATTTTCTCCTACTCTCCTCGGAAAAGTATCTCGAGAAGAATCGGAGTACTCAGTCGGCGTTCTTCAATGGCGATTTACCTCTCTGCCGCTTCTGCTTCGTCTCTGATTTCTCCTGAATTGGGCAATTCCGTGACACCCGCCTCGAAACTATCTTCTCTTTCGTCTGTGCGGTTTCCGGCGCAGATTCTCCGTGTCGGCATCCGAAACAAGAGGATAAACTCGCCTTCGCGGCCTCGATTCGTACCTCTCTCTGTAAGTTCTTCAGCTTCACTATTAATCGCCCGCTTCTCCTCAGCCTGATACTAATTTTCGTTTTCTTTGAAGATATTTCGTCGCGTGAAAGACGGATTCGTTGAATTTTAGCTGCATTCATAGATTGGGACTTAGCCATATGTTAGGTGTTTCGTTGTTTGCAGTTATGTACCATATGTGACTCTGCAAATTACTTATGGGATACAAGTTAAATAGCTGAGTTCGTCAATTGGAGGCTTTAATTTGGAGCATTTGCTCTTATCTACAGAGACATAGATGTGCATTTGATTCTGGAATTTGGGATGACGTATCGGTGGGTGGGATACTTTTGATATATTTGGCTATACTTCTGGTGGACATATGATATTTTCTCTCGTGTTAAAGTGGAGTATTGTTTATGAGGTTCCATTGGATTGATGTTCGCTCCAGGTTACAGCAAAGAAGCAGAGTTTCGACTCCTTTGATGATTTGCTGCAGAGTTCCCAAAAACCTGTGCTTGTAGACTTCTATGCCACATGGTGAGTTCTTTTCAATTTTCCTTCTTGTTCTATTTGCGCCAATGCCCCGATTTGCCTCTATACCCGATATGTATAGGTCTGTCTATCATTTTTTGATTCCTCATCGCATAGCATTAGCAGTTTAATAACGGGTTACATAGTTGTTTTGTGCAGGTGTGGACCGTGTCAGTTCATGGTACCGGTACTCGAAGAAGTGAATGCAACACTGAAAGATAAGATCCAAGTGGTGAAAATCGATACCGAGAAGTACCCGAATCTTGCTGACAGATACCAGATAGCGGCATTGCCTACATTCATCTTATTCAAAGATGGAAAACTCTTGGACCGTTTCGTAAGTCAATCCTACACCATTTCTTTATGCAAGTGTATCTAACACTGAGTAACTGCATACCCAGTGTTAGGTTTATACAATTCTCGTACAGTGATTTTACGATTCATGAATCGCGTTCTATAGATCGTTGTTTGGTTCCGTTATAAAATTTTTACAATGTGGAATCGAAATCACTTGTTCCTCTGCATCCTTAACTTCGTCTTGGTGAAGATCCTTTCTGATTAAGTTCGATATCGGGTTTACTGCAGGAAGGTGCCTTGCCCGCGAACCAGCTGGTAGGCCGAATCGAGGATGCGTTGCAAGTGAAACAGTAGCTGTGGAATTATGATGAACTGGAACATTCTTGCGTATAAGCACCATCCTGACTGAATTCAGCATTCATGTCTTGAAAAAGAATCCTGATTGATTTCGAATAGAATGTTAAAGTATATTATTTTTTACCAAGCATTTTTGGGTTAACCCTAGCTTCTGAACAAATTAAAACCCTAGGATTGTCTCTCCTTTCCCGACATCTATCCGCCATTGCTGCAGCAAAAGTACCCGACCGATCAAAGATGAGTCCGAGTTCGGTTCCGGTTTTGGAATGTGACGCGTCGGCTCCGGTGGATATCTTACGGATACCAAGTAAATAATTTTGGTATTTTGTGACAATTATAAAAACAATAGTATTAGAATTTTTTATCTCAAAATTTATATATTTCGCATCTCTACCGCCTTGAAATTTTCTAATACCAATTTTCTGGGACGTTACTGGCTTAAAACTGTTCATAGCGTTAGCTGGTTTCTTGTGAATCGATTTTTTCAAAAAACTTTTTTAACCTCTAATTCTAATTCGGTTCTCATCTGTTTATTTCGGTTTAATAAGAATTATATCTAATAAAACTACGACCACTATATATATATATATATATTGTAAAAGAATTGTGCTCGAATTATCTAATCATATTTAAATAAAATTTTATATTGAATTTGGTTAGATTACTTTGTCCGGTTATATATATCCCAAGTCCCAACCAAAATAGCTATATATATATATATATATAAATTTTGCCGGCCGTTTGGATGGTTTTGTTTTAAAACGTTTTCGTAAGTATAAGAGAATTGTGCTTTGGATATTCGGCCTCCGACTAATTAATTATACACGAGAGAGATAACGCAAATAAACATTTTTTTATTTGCTTTATTTTCTGGCATGACAGAATACAGTTAATATATATAATTTAATTTTTGTATAACCTCCACGATATAGTTGTATCACCAGATAAATTTCTTTGAAGCATTCAACTTTTTTCTCGTATTAAAATTTGAAGTCGGGATAGAATATTCTTTCTACACCTCAGTGAAAAACCAGCAATGATATATTATTCCGTTGCCCGGATCAAAGAAATTTCTTTTATTTAAAAAAAATAGTTTATTGATCGCTCATATATATATATATATACCTCGCACCATATACATGTAGAAGAAGTACAAACCAAAAAACAAGATCTTGTTATTGACACTGGATTTGGGAATGGAGGGAGGCGAAGAACAGCAGCAACACCACGGCGGTTTATTCCACCACCACCACGGCAAGGAGGGCGAAGAGGAACACGACTATGCCAAAGAGGAGAAGCACCACAGTCACCTCGAGCACCTCGGCGGGGCTACAGCCGTGGCGGCCGGTGCCTTTGCCCTGGTATATATATATATCCCCTCCCAGTTCCCAACCGCAATTTTCAAAAATCATACTGTTATCGAACTCAAACATCTACATTCTACACCATTCCATATTGAAAATCTATTTGTCCTAAAACATGGGAACTCTATTTTAAAAATCGGACTGGTGAATGGTTATTGAGAATTGAAACGATCTTTGAAAAAAAATTATCGGATTCAGTATATACATACACTTTAACTTACTGAAACATCGATCATCATTCATGGAAGCTAATAAAGAACCTCGGACCGGAGAGAGAACCACGGCCTAAAAGAATGTTGGTTGTACAATTTGTAATGATCATCCGGTTTTAGCAGAAACAAAACTTTTTTTTCTTAACATGAAAAAAACTCATCCTCGTGGGATCCAAAGCAATGATACAATTCTGTGGTTGTACGTACGTAGCACGAGAAGCACAAGGCGAAGAAGGATCCGGAACACGCGCACAAACACAAAGTGGAAGAGGAGATAGCGGCCGCAGCGGCTGGGGGCTTTAGCACTTCTGGAGGCTTCGCCTTCCACGAGAAACACGAGAAAAAAGAAGCCAAGGAGAAGGATGAAGAGGCTCACGGCAAGCACCACCACCACCTCTTCTGATGCTTCCTGTTGTTGTTTCTAATTGGAATTCGGTGTGGTTTCGTTTGTGTTGTTGTCTTTTTCACGATGATGTACGCGTGAGTGTTTCTTCTTGTCTTTTGTGGATGAGCATCTGTGCGTGGATTGGTGATCGTATTGTACGTTTTGATTTCTTCTAAATGTGATATTTAATGTGAATTTTTTTTATTGTGTATTGTTTTAATGTAAAGTCGGTTCATATAGTTTGCATAATATATGGTCCTAGGGAAATTCATATTTTACCAAAATATATATAGACGGTCCTAGGGTTTTCCTCGACCGGATTCATCCATAGAGTAGGTATCAAAGAACATACTCTACGAATTCTTTCAAAATGTGGAGATGAATGTTTGTTGAATGTGTGTATATATATAACTTATATGGACTAAACATAAATTTGAATGTAAGAAGGAGAAACACCATATAAGTTGGTTGAATGCTAGATCATTTAATCTCAAAATTTTAGATTCGAATGCTCTTACCATTTTTATCCGCGAGTCTATCAGTTATGAAAAATCTATACTAGTTTACGTTTATCGTGTAGTTTGCAGGTTATTACACAAAAACGAGAGTTTATCTAATATGCATAGGTAGTGAATCTACTGGTTGAGGTTATCACATTATAAAAAAAATTTAATGGAACAACCAGTAGATTCACTACCTATGCATATTAGATAAACTCTCGTTTTTGTGTAATAACCTGCAAACTACATGATAAACGTAAACTAGTATAGATTTTTTATAATTGATAGACTCGCGGATAAAAAGGGTAAGAACATTCGAATCTAAAATTTAATGGAATGTGTAATATATCATTCAAAAAGAAATGATCCAAACTACTATTGCATTTTAAAATTATTAAAACTAACACAAATAGATAAAATTATCTTTTGCTTTAAAAAAACTAAACCTTAGAAGTTAAAATTACGAGTTTAAATTGTTTTGGTAAATAATTGGAACTGTAAGAGGACGAGTTGTATAGAACAGACTAGGGTGTCAAAATGGCCGGGTCGGGCCGGCCCAGCCCGAGCCCGACAAAAACCCAAAGAATTACGGGCCGGACTGGCCCGGTTCGAAACACATGGGTCCGAGACCCGGCCCAATGGACTTTTTTTGGGTTCAGGTTGGACTTCGGGTTTTTTTTTAAAAAAATAACAAAATAAAAATAAAAATTATTAATAAAAAATTATCAAAATAGAAAAAAATTAATATATACTAAAGATAATAAAAAATAAAGTTTTGATAAAAACATTTATTAATATATATGTGAATTTAAAACTCAGATTTTTTTAATTTTTATATAATAATAAATATTAATATATTTATGCATGTATGTATATATATTTATCTATATCTATATATATTTATATTATATAATATATAATATATTTATTTTTTCGGGCCGATGGGCCGGATCGGACTAGTCCGGTCCGAGCCCGCATTTTGGTCCGCATTTTTCGGGTCGGACCGGCCCGGCCCGATGGACGACCGGGCTTCAATTTCTTAGGTCCAAGCCCGTAAATTTTACGGGCGAGCTCAGACCGGATAACGGATTTCGGGCTTCGGTCTTTTTTGACACCCCTAGAACAGACATAAAAAGGGTGTTAATTGTATTTAGAATTCGTACAAATGAATAGAAAAAGGTTGCATACAATGTGAATTTAAGAATAACCAAATTTCCTCAAATTTTCATGTTTATTTTATATGATTTGCATCTCCTAGAAAATTTCAATTTAAATTTAATCGAATTGTTTCGACAATATATTTCCAACCAATAAAAAAAGAAAAAATCACGAGAGACTCATAACACCAGGGAAATCAAAATCGTTGGCATTAATTTTACATGATTTTTTAGGAATTTATTATTAACTCACCAACTAAATTACTAATACATAATAGTATAATAGTACATGTATATATTTAAACCTTCATTTAAAATCATTAATTTTATAAAAATTTCCAAAAAAACTACAGTATTTGATTTTAAGGTGAATTAAAAAAAGTTTGTGTATAATAAATTCGCATATTATATATATTTTTTATTTTTTTTTTAAATTCTTAAAAAGCAAACAAAAACGTAAAAACCAAAAAAAGATAGATCTTTAAATGTGAATATCAAATTATTTATATTTAAAAAATCTCAAATAATTTAAAATTTTATCAAATTATTTAAAACAATAATAATTACTTTATTTGATTGTGATCTTGCACATTTAGAACTTGCTAGGGTGTATATTTTTATTTTCATTTCGGCCAGGACTTTTAGATTTGGAAAATTTATACCGATTCAGTTTTTTATTTGATTAAAAAGAGTTATATTAATTTATTTGAAAAAAAATCATTTATTTTTTTATCAATTATTTTCGTTATATTAATTTATTTGAAAAAAAGCACATACAAACCAATTTTGAATTAGAGAGGTTTTATGTAATTATCATATATTTGATGGAACAAAACTTAACTACAAGTAAACTAATTGATTCAAAAAATTATTTTATTAAAGATGGATTTTATATTGTGTTGAAAGTTTAATCCAATTAATTTTTCCTTGGTAAATTGAAATAGTGGAAATGAAACTTTTAATCTAATACACTAAAAAAAATATTCACTTATTTCCTTTTTTTGGAAAAAATGTTATCGAATATTACGAATTTCGTTTTTAAGAGGAAAAAAATTATGGCTCATTATGGAAATGATTTCGCTCGGGCAGCACAAATTCAAGAGACAAAACTTTATCTTCATATATTTTGTTATAGTTATAGAAAAACAAAAAAAAAAAACAAAGAAGAGGCCCTCCTGTAGAACCGGAGGGTTATGGGTGATGGGACCCACCACATGACGGGACCAAAGATGTCGCAACAATTTCACGGATACACAACAAAAAAAGTAAGTTTTTTTTTAATTTTATATCATTTTTGGGTTTAAAAAATACGAAATAACATTTCTTTCATATTTTTTACTATTTTATTACGACTATTATATAACTAGCATATGATTAAAAAAAAGTATTTACGATTATATAACAACTAAAAATCTTGTAAACAATTAGATATATTTTTTTGTCATCTCATTTAGGATCAATTACAACTGTATTTAGAATCAATTACAACTGTATTTAGAATCAATTACGACGTTGTAATTATAATTATACAGTTTTGTTAAGGTTAAGGGTAATATGATCTTTTGGAAGAAAATTTAATGGGTTATAATTTTTTTTGGGTGTATACTAAGAATTGGTATATTTGAGTCCGTCGAAGGGGAAGGAGATATTAGATAGATAGGGTTCAACTTCTACGACATCACGCGAATCCTTCGATCTACTCTCCTCCTCCTCTGAAGCCCCCCCTCCCCCCTCTCTCTCTCTCTCTCTCTCTCTCTCTCTCTCTCTGTGCAAAGGCAAGTTCTCTCGCTCTCTCTGTCTTTGTTCTCCCTTTCTGCCTCTGTATGCGTTTCGCTGGCGGTGTTGAAGGAGATGTTTGATATGTTTCTGTTTGTCGACAATTAGACCGGAAAATTTCATTCAGCTTACGTTCACTCTCCCAGAATCACTCCGGCTGCGTTTTGTTTGTAATGTCTCTGCGGCCGAGAAACGGCCTGATATTTGGTGGTCTGGGTCGATGTGTTGTTCTTGGTGCGGGCTGTGGTGAATCCTCTGGTTTTGTCTGTTGGGCATCAGTGAAACCTCATTACACCGTCATTTTTTACTGTTAATTGGGTGTTATTGAGCCTGATTGAATCTGCTAATGTCGAATTTGGACACCGTGTAGTCGTTTTTGGATGCTGTTCGCGGCAAAATTGATGCATTCACCGTCGGCTTTAAGTTTTTGGGTTTCTTCGTTTGCAGGTTCGGAATGTCAGAACCTTCCAAAGTGATCCACGTTCGCAATGTTGGGCATGAGATTTCTGAAGTATGTTACTTTTTTCTCTCTCTTTTTTAAGAAATTGTAGGTCGTTTACAGACTGTACATATGTGGCAAGTCATTGATCCTTGTATGTTCTGTTCTTGTTCGACAGAATGATTTGCTTCAGCTGTTTCAGCCATTTGGGGCCGTTACTAAGCTTGTAATGCTCCGAGCAAAAAATCAGGTGCTGACACTGCATATTCATGTTGGGTCTCTAAGTGAAAATTATGTCGTTTCCTTGAAATCTCTTCTTTATATTTTCTGTATCGAATCCTTTTGTAGGCCCTTCTTCAGATGCAAGATGTTTCTGCAGCTGTCAATGCCCTTCAGTTTTATACAAACGTGCAGCCAAGCATAAGGTATGCAATTGCTAGTATTTTGTTGCCTTGGTAATTTGCTGTATCCCATTACCCGATGTAGACTACGGGTTGCGATGTACAGTTGAGATAATATTAACTTGTAGTTTTTGTCCTCGCCATGATCAACTCGGTCATTTTGCTCTAGAGGGAGGAATGTCTATATCCAATTTTCATCGCACCAGGAATTGACGACAATGGAACAAAACACTCATCATGGACGAGTAGATGAGGTTCGTACCTTTAAAATGATGGAAATAGATAGGAGGCTTGTGTACATATGAGAGCGAGCTTAGTTGCTATTAAATCTTCCATTTTTTTCTCCTGGAACTTTAGTTTATTGTAACTCTGAGACTAGAGTTCTATTGGAAAGCAATTTGGATTTTGGACCGACATAGTGGACCAGCATTTTGTCATTTTGCCTTCAATAGAAATCAAATTTCATTTTGGCTAGTAACTATAGTATAACTTTTAGTTCTCCCTTTATGTACTCTCCTATTCATTCTCTCTTGTCTTCTGTCTTCTGTCTCAATGGTGTCTGCTGGGGGCTTCTTATGGTGTGCACAGCCAAATCGTATTCTCTTAGTCACGATCCATCACATGTTGTACCCAATTACAGTGGACGTGCTTCATCAAGTTTTTTCTCCTTATGGATTTGTGGAGAAGATCGTCACTTTCCAAAAGTCGGCTGGTCAGCTTCTCCAAGTTCACTTTCTCATCTTTTCTTCCGCTTTAGCACTTCCGTAGGCGTGGGATTGTAGTAGATGATTTTGAAGTCTAATTTTCTTGTTTGAGAAGATGCTCAGTGATTTGGCTTCTTCTCATTTGACTTCTTATGTGACATTTTTTGCATATTTGTTTGACCACTTGGATGTTGTGCCTGTATTGTTTATTCAACCTGTTTTCTTTCTTTTATAAACTCTCTAGGTTTTCAAGCTCTCGTGCAGTATCAGTTACAACAGTGTGCTGCCTCTGCTAGAACATCACTGCAGGTGCTTTTCTGTCTTTCTAACAAACTATACTAACAAGAAATAATGGTCTCCTTTTTCTAGTTTCTCGTTTAATTTATGCTTCAATTTTTGCAACAGGCCCGTAACATTTATGATGGGTGTTGTCAGTTGGATATCCAATTCTCAAAGTAGGTTTTGGTTGTTTTAATTTGGTTAAAGCCTTCTTGTTGTTGCATTGGTGAGTTTCTCTACCTTCCCTTCTGTAGTTGGTTGTATTGATATGTAGTATTTTTTTCAGCCTTGAGGAGCTGCAAGTAAATTATAACAACGAGCGTTCTAGGTACGTCTCATGTGTGAGCATGGTACACAACTTTGCGGTTTGAGCTGCTTAATGGTTGTATGATGTCATGATCATCTTGATGCTTACATAACTTCGATTTCCGGTTGCTGTTGGATAGGGATTATACAAATCCAAATCTGCCAAATGATCAGAAAGGCCGCTCATCACATGTAAGCTAGCATATGTCTTTAGTCCATTGCAATTGTTTGTATTCATATATGCCATCTGAGTCTTCTTTTTTTCCTTCTCTTGCAGCAGCCCGCCTATGGTGACGTAGGAGGTATTTATTTTTATGTGCATCTGGTCACTCTTGCACGATAATCGCCTTTGTGCATTGTTGTTTTTCTTAGTGTGCTTCTGCTGATTCGTATCTTTTTGCTCTCTTTTTGTTTTTTTTTGTTCCAGTTGCATATCCTCAGGTGGGTAGTGTCCAGCTCATGATATGCTTGTTATGCTAGCTACTCCTTTTGCTCAGATATCATCGAACCGGCTTTTGTATTCAAAATATCTTTTTTACTTTTGTCATCACAAGCATGATGCGTGTGTTCATCGCTCGATTTCTTCGCCTGTTGAGTTTTCAATAACGGGTATGAGTCTTATCCTAACGTTGTTGCTTGAAAACTAGATGACAAATGCAGCTGCAATTGCAGCCGCCTTTGGAGGAGGGCTTCCTCCAGGTATAACCGGCACAAATGATAGGTGTACAGTCCTTGTCTCCAATCTAAATTCCGAAGTGAGTTAATGTTTTCATCCTGTATCTGTTTGCAGAGCATGATAAACAACTTGGTTACCTTATCATGTTTTCCTGCACCTGCCATTTTTTTCCCCAGAGAATTGACGAGGATAAGCTATTTAATCTTTTCTCCCTGTACGGGAACATAGTAAGAATTAAGCTTCTTCGGAACAAACCCGACCATGCGCTTGTTCAAATGGGTGATGGTTTCCAAGCTGAACTGGCAGTGCACTTCCTGAAGGTTTGTCTTTGTATACACATTCTGTTTTACTCTTCCTGCTTTATCATGTTAACTGGCGACCTGATTGATCCGTCGAGATTGCTATCAAGGATGACTTGTGAGTTAAGAAGAAACATTACATTCTACTACATAAACATGGTCTGATTAGTTGGATGCTTATGTGTGTTCTTGTAGGGAGCTGCCCTGTTTGGTAAGCGATTAGAAGTAAACTTCTCAAAGCATCCAAACATAACTCCAGGCACTGACTCTCACGACTACGTTAACTCTAATCTTAACCGCTTCAATCGCAATGCCACAAAGAACTACCGCTACTGCTGCTCTCCAACAAAGATGATCCACTTATCAACTCTTCCCCAAGACATCACAGAAGAGGAAATCTTGAACCATCTCCAAGAACACGGGCCAATTGTTAACGCAAAAGTCTTTGAGATGAATGGGAAAAAGCAGGCCCTTGTGCAGTGTGAAAACGAGGAGCAAGCCACGGAAGCACTCGTGTGCAAGCATGCGACTTCTCTAGACGGGTCGATAATCAGAATCTCCTTCTCCCAGTTACAGACAATATGAGACGAGGAAGAACACCCGAAGGAGGTAATAATCATAGGGTTTGTGATATTGATTTGGGAAGAATAATGAGCAATCTCATAGGGTTTGGTGATAATGATAATGAATTTTTATGTTGAAACCACTTGAATCTATCTGCTCCGTTGGTACACTTTTGTGGTCCTTTTAACTACTTGTGAGATTTTTTTTTCTCTCCCTTTTCTTTTTGTTTTATCTTTCCATTTTTTGTTCCATTGTTGATTGTAAGGTTTGAACTTTGACCTGAGTTTCTGATTTTTTAGCTATTAGATTACAATAGTGCCAAGGGGAAAGGGGAGTAGTAAAACAGGTGCAGTTCTTTTGTCTTTTTTGTCAAGTTAATAAGAAGAGAAATCTTAAACCTTTGTTGAATCAACTCAATAGTTTTCTTGGTCTCTCTTTTAGCCTCTCTCTCTCCCCACAGCTCAGGATGATGTTTGAGACAGGACCCGCTCGATTTTGATGTAAGGGTGTACCATCGGATCATCTTTCTTGTGTTCTTTACACCTCTGACTTGTGCCACGAGTTGTTTATCGAAACCATTTGAGAGGAGCTTTGTTGTGAGCATCAACAAGCTTACAACCTCCAAATACATTGTAGGATTAGGGAAAGGCAAGGATTACTTTCAAATATGTTCAAGCTCCCAGGTACTAGAACACATTAGCTGAAAAGAACTGTTCCTGTTAGTATCTTTCATCAATCAAGCAAACCACAAAGTTTATGTATCGAATCAATCTCTTGTATTAATAAACTTACCTTTAAGCCGATTCACAAAGATATGAGGTCGTCGATGAAGATATATTCAATAGAAAACCTATTTTTTTGTTTGTTTTTCTACGTGTAGAAATCAAATGAGAGTTGACAATCTCTTGTATTAATGAATTTACCTTCAGATCGACTCACGAAGAAAATATGAGATCGTTGACGAAGATATATTCAATGGAAAAACTATTTTTCGTTTGTTTTTATGTGTAGAAATGAAATGGGAGTTGGAGAAAATTGGAAGAGTTTGAGAAAGAGATAAACGTTGAGAGAGAGAAAGTTAAGAAATGCATGGAGAATTATAACTTTGAGAGAGAAAAAAGTTTAAAATGACTAAATGGAAAGAATGAGAAAATATTTTGATATAATTTTATGGTGTGTCACGTTCTTTTCTAAAAGGTTTATGTTCCCTTTTTTTTAAATCCTAAGAGTTTTGAAGGATAACACTAACACACGAAGTCCATTGTACTAAGGGTAGTTCTGCTATATTACCAAACAAAAATGACAACAAACGAAAGACGTGTTTAACGAAGCTTTGGAGGAGAAAGCGGGTTTGGAGTCAACGGTGTCGCATTGACTCTTCCTACTTTACGGCGCATGAACCCTTCGTTGTACACAAATAATAAATATTAACATTATCATATATATAAATATAATTTTAAAATTATTATGTGGAATTATTTAGTTCATGATTTTAACTAAGAACTTCATAATAATTAAGTATAAAGTGACGGTGGGCTCTAAAGATATTTTGTTTATAACAAAATGAATATTTTTTGAAACAATTATTTTTCCAAACCGAACGACCCGGAGCCGAGCCAAAGACCGAAACGCTGATGACCCGGTTCAATGATTGAGGTAGAATTTTCTTCATCTCCGTCACAAAGAGCAAAAGGTGCATCATGGCCGTTCATTTTCTCAGATACCGACCCAAGTAAATCAGAGCCGTTAATGTATGCCACGTGTATTCAAACCAAATACTTGTCACGTAGACTTCTCCCCCAATCAGAGCGTTGACTCGTAATATCTACGACTGCGTACCTCCTTCCTTCCTCTTCCCTTTGTAATTATCTCGCCGTTTCTCTCCATCGCTATCAATGGCGGCATCTCTCTCTCTCTCTCTTCTTCACTCACACCAACCATTCTCTCTCCACATCTCCCATGGACGCCACTCTCCAAGCCATCCTCGCTGCCGTCGCCAGCTTCTGCTTCGTCGTGCTCGTCCTCTCCTTCGCCATCCTCGTCTGCCGCCGCGGCCGCCGCCCCTGCTCCGTGGAGCCACTCTCCAAGCCATCCTCGCTGCCGTCGCCAGCTTCTGCTTCGTCGTGCTCGTCCTCTCCTTCGCCATCCTCGTCTGCCGCCGCGGCCGCCGTCCCTGCTCCGTGGAACCCTCGCGTCGCCACCAAACCGCCAGAACCGGCCCAGATCCTTCGCCTAATCCCGGAGGCAACATTAGCTCCTCCATCGCGATCGACGAGGGCGCGAGCTTCGACCCCTCAATCAGCCAGATCTCGATGGCGGAACTCTCCGCCGCGACGAAGGGCTTCTCCTCCGATCTGATCATCGGTGACGGAAGCTTCGGCCTCGTCTACCGAGCAGAGCTCTCAAACGGCGTCGTCGCCGTGAAGAAGCTTGATCCCGATGCTCTCCAAGGATTCAGGGAATTTCGCGCCGAGATGGAAACCCTCGGTCGTCTTCATCACCCGAACATCGTTCGGATCCTCGGGTACTGCATCTCGGGGCAGGATCGGGTCCTGATCTACGAGTTCCTCGAGAGAGGAAGCCTCGACTATTGGCTCCCCCATCGTGTCGTCTCTCTCATGGCCCACGCGCGTCAGGATAGCGCGTGGCATCGCAAAGGGACTCGCTTACCTTCATGGGCTTTCAAAGCCCATTATCCATAGAGACATAAAGTCAAGCAATGTCTTATTGGACTCAAACTTCGAGGCCCATATCTCCGACTTTGGGCTGGCGCGTAGGATCGACGCGTCGAGTTCACACGTGTCGACTCAGGTGGCGGGAACGATGGGATACATGCCGCCGGAGTACCGGGAAGGGAACACGGCGGCGACGTCGAAAGCCGACGTGTACAGCTTCGGGGTTCTGATGTTGGAGATCGCGACGCAGCGGCGGCCGAATTGGCCGGTGAAGGCGGAGGACGGAAAGGAGGTGGGTCTGGCTCAGTGGGCGACGGGGATGCAGGGGCAAAATCGGCAATTCGAGATGCTCGACGGCGGTATGAGGAGAGAGGGCGTTAGCGTGGAGAGCGTTAGGGAGTATTTTAGGATTGCTTCTTTGTGTGTGAAGGAGGCGACGAGGGAGCGGCCGGCGATGAAGGAAGTGGCGGAGATGCTAGAGAGGGTAATGGTTTAGAAACTTAAATAATTATTGAATATATTAATGTTATATTTTAAAAATTCCGGGTTTTTTTTTTTGTTTGGTGAATTATATAAATGGGATGTGTCTCCGAATAAACATGCCTTTCTGGGTGATACAGTATGCGTACGGAACAACCATTAGAGGTGAATATTTGCGATTCGGTTCTTCTAGGTATCGGTTTGGATTTTTTTTTTTTTCCGTTTTGGATTAGTTTATTTTATTTAAGAACCGTAATTTGTACGGTTTGAATTCCACACAGATACAGAAAGAAGAAACAATTGTTTTTGTAATAAAAAATTGTTTCGCTTAGTTGACCTATTAATAGATAAGAATTAGAGATATTGTCAATTTAAATCACTGATAATGATGATTTTATTATTATTATTATTATTCCAGTACCCACCATATGAGCTCACATGGACCCGCCATATCAGTTCACATGGACAACAAAAACACAAATACAAAATTTCAACCCAATATTATCACAAAGACTGCCTAGGCTACCGTACCAATCCGATACGTTGCTCCTTTTGTGCAACAGCATCCAAAGATATGTGTCTAGAGAGTGATTCGCATGTGACCCTAAAATCCAGCTCTTGGAACATGTAACTCAACGTAAACACTCTACATGAATTAAATTCAATCACAATAAATATTAAATATCGTGAATATCAATCAACCAAATTACGTCTATATGACAAGTCATGACAGAATCCATCAAATCATCTCTATGTACATTTGTAGCAACATCATCCGTAACGAAGACACTCTT